AAATCATTTAAATTGGTTTAATTCATCTTTAGAAGTGAACAGAACGCTGACAGATTCTGAGTTTGAGTGAATGGAGGATATTTTTTACAGTGTAAAGCCACAGAAACTGACCATTTTGGACTAAACTCTTCAAATCTGGATTTAAATCAGTTACAAATATGTTAAATTAGCACAAAAAACTATGTCAAATTAGTTTAATATATCTTAATAAGTCAACACAACTCCTAGGTTTTAATCTCAATCTGAATGATTTAAATTGCAGGATATTTTTACAGTGTACAAGCCAACCATTATGGACTAAAATCTTGGAAATTGTATTTAAATCTGTCAGAAATGTCTGAAATGTCAGATTAGAGCAGATTAGTTTCATTCATCTAAATAAATCAACACAACTCAATATGTTTCTTTTCTGAATTTGAATGATATAAACCGCATTATGTTTTACAGTGTAACGCCACAGAAACCAACCATTTTGGACTAAAATCTTTAAATCTGGATCTAAACCAGTCAGAAATATGTTAAATTATTACAATAAACTATGTCAAATTAGTTTAATATACTGTATCTTAAATCAACACAACTCATATGTTATAATCTCAATTTGAATGCTGTAAATTGCAGGATTTTTTATTACAGTGTAATGCCACAGAAACCAACCATTATGGACTAAAATCTTGGAAATTGTATTTAACTCTGTCAGAAATGTCTTAAATGTCAGATTAGAACAGATTCGTTTCATTCATCTAAATAAATCAACACAACTCAATATGTTTCTGAATTTGAATGATATAAACTGCATTTTGTTTTACAGTGTAACGCCAGAAACCAACCAATTTGGACTAAAATCTTTGAAATTGTATTTAACTCTGTCAGAAATGTCAGATTAGAGCAGATTCGTTTCATTCATCTAAATAAATCAACACAACTCAGTATGTTTCTAAATGTGAGTGACATAAACTGCCTTACATTTTACAGTGTCACGCCGCAGAAACCAACCATTTTGGACTTGAAGCTTGAAACTCTCCATCTCTGTGTGAATGTACCCAGTGGAGTCTTCAGCAGATTGGAAATGTCATTTTAAAAAGTGAAATAAACTATACGGGATCATTGTGACAGAAGTAGTGGGCTACACAGGGGCACTTTGGCACGTCATTACCGAGGAGAGCCACCGGGGGAGCTCACACTTTCCAAATGTAATCTTCACTCGTCTGAAAAAAATATGACAAAGTTATATCTATAAGAAAAGAACCTCTCCCATTCCCAAGTTTACATTCATAGTATTATTACTTTTAAAATATAAGGGAAATACAAGATAATGGAGTGTTCACTGCAAAAAAAAAATCTACTTGAGTTAAAATGGCTTGAATTTCTAATACATCTTAATTTGAGTAGTTTCAACTCAAGATTTAAAATGTGTTTATTTTAGAACCTGGATTAATAGCAATTTTTGAGAAACTACTGAAAGGTTTTAATGTATTTTTCTCAAGTCTAGCTAAATGAATTGAGGTAAATTACTCTATTTTTCAGACTATAAGTCACACTTTTTTTCATGGTTTGGGTGGTCGTGCGACTTATATATTAAAATTTTCACACTGACAGCTGTGAGAGGCTCTAGGCTTGGGTGTCAGTGTCTAGGACTACTATTACTCCTGTACCACTGTCACTTCACATTCTACAGCGCATGTCTACTGCAGAAAAAGCCGCTGTTTTGCTGCAACTAGTGAAATATTACCCGAAAATGGTAATCGAGCAGCCGAAAGAAAGTTTGGAGTGAGCGAGAAACTTGTGAGGGACTGATGGAGAGCAGGGATGGAGAACACAGCTTCACGGTAACCGGGAGGGTGCGCCATGCAACTTTCCTGGAAGTCACTGGATGGATCGCCTGAACATCAATTACACCAAAACCATCCTGTTGGAATTCAGAAAAGCCGGAATAATTGTAACTGGAACCGATGCTGAGTCTGACGACAGCTACACAGAAGAGCTGTTTACATGATGGATCTATGGTTTATCTCTGGAGGTCGGGCAGAAGTGACATCGAGGACGAAGAATTCAGTGGATTTAGTGATTTGAGAGTGAGTGAGATCGAGTTTGGTAAACTTATGTTATGTTGTTTATGCTATAATTATCTGAATAACTGTTAATATGTGACGTTAACATATTAACGCCTATTCAGCCTGTTGTTCTCTGTTCTATTGTTACTCTATAACTTGTCTTTCAAGATGAGATGTCGGTTCCTACATTTCCCCAAAAAGTGCGACTTATATATGTTTTTTTCTTCTTCATTACACATATTTTGGCTGGTGTGGCTTATACTCCGAAATGACTTATAGTCCGAAAAATACGGTACTTGTTGTTCTTTCAGTATACATTTCTTACGCCATTTGCATGTAATAGTCCTTAGTAAATTAAATGGAAGAAATGCATTTAAACAATAATCTGTCAGATAATCAGGAAGTGCATGTTAGCATGATAACTGTTGTTAGGTTTACCAAAAAACTCAGCTCTGGTCTCTGAGATTTATGAAAAGTGGTGAATAATTTGTAAACTCAGAGTGCGAAAGGTAAGTGAGGAATAACTTTGCACCACAGCAAATACTGTTTAAAATGGACTAGTTCTGTTTTTCACATTTTAAGGCGGATACAGCATCTTTAAGACAGTCAAAACTACCCAATTCAAGATAATTATTCAAAGTTTAAGTCATTTTAACTCATGTAAATACATCTTTTGCAGTGATTACCAAATATGGACCATCGATGGGTTATTGAGATGCCCTGAAATGGTGGACCGTCTGCTCTGTTTTGCGTATTCTTCTTTACAGATTCTTGTCACGTATTGTACACAGCTTCACGCCTGCACCCACTGGACCCACCCGGACCAAACCAGTTTTTTTTCCATTCATGGGGTCGACTTATTCACTTATAAATATGGAGAAGTAGAAAATCAGTTTGGATCAGTCTGGGTGGGCCGTACACTGCAAAAAACGAAATCCAAATGAGTTGAAATGACTTAATTCAGAATATTTGTCTTGTTTTAACACATTTTGACTAGTTGACAATTCATTTTAGAAACAAATATCATTTATTTATACTAGTTTGAATTTGCAGTTTTCAATATTGTTATAATCCAATCTCTCTTTTCATAAACATACAAGTGGCGTAAATCTTGTTTGTACTTCACTGACAGTTACTTTCATTAGTATAAAATAAAATGAGCCAGAAACACTTTGAAACATCTCAGTTAACTCATTTCTGTTTGCAAACTTAACTGTTTTAAGTTAAAACTACTCAAAATAAGGTTCATATTCTGAATTGAAGGCATTTTAAATCAGCAGATATGACTTTTTGCAGTGTGTGAGTGCATGCTTGTATTGAAATATATAAAAAATGGAGTTATAAGTGGAGACCTTAAACTGTATGTTGTGCTTCCTGTCTTCCAACATAAAACATATATCATAAACCTTTTGAATAGAGCTTCTTTAACATTTACAAGTTATACAGTTTTACCAAATGGGTTTTCTTATATGCTTCCACCTGCAGCGTCGACACTTGCAATGCAAAGAGGGAGACGACAAGAAGAGAGAAAAGGAAGGATTAAGTCATTTTCAACGCAAAAATAAGAGATAAGAAACAAGACACCAGTCCTCGAAAACATTGGCATAACCGACAATGAACAAGAATCGTTCATTTGCTTTTCTTTTACAATACATTTTTAAGAAACGCCAGCTGGTTAAGGTTATGGTCTCAGGTAGATCGTCCTCACTCAGTCTTCACAGTTTGTATAAAGCAGAGAAACATTCCTGCTAGAGTAATAAAATATCAGGGCTATTATCGACATTATTATCTTTCATTATTTTTTATATTTGTTCCATAGAAATAGATCGGGGAGAGTTGTTTCACGCAAGGTCCGCTCTCCTCCCTGTACAATGTTTTTTTCAGTGGTTGCTTGTTCTTTTAGTTAAAAAATGCCTGCCCACAGGGAAGAGTAGCATCGAGCGAGTGTTTTCACCCATTTTAAACCGTATCTCGGCAAGAAAAAAAAGAATGAAAAATATCCACATGGTTTAGCGATTCTACCGTTTCACCATCTTGCCTGTGCTGGGTCGCGAGCCTTCATCGCTGCCCTTCGAAAACCTCAAAATATTACATCCAAAGAGGCAAGAATTGTCCCGTCCAGAGATAAAATTATTCTCTATCCTCAGCACTTGTGGGGCGAAAGAAAGAAATAGAAAAGTAGCCCATTGGAGAAGAGATGTTTTGCTAATATTTACGTTTGGTGGTTTTTGTTAGCCAGGCTCAAATTCGGTGTAATCTGAAGGCACTTTTTTCATGGCAGAAAGTAAAGTGGCTTCTTCTGAGCTAAACCCGATTCTTGACCTGATCGAACGCGTTTTTTCCCAATTTCTTGACTTATCTGTTCGCTTCTCACCCGAGACTCTTTGCGTAATCCAGTCTTCGAACCGTCCAGGGCCACTTATACTCGTGACACAGTGTTAAAGATACAGAAAGAGTAAGGAGATGCAAGCAAGATGTAGCCGTAGTCCACCTTTTGTCGTTCGAATAGCACCGACTGGTAAAAAATAGAAGAATGGTTGGCGTATTGGCAAATCGAACAGAAAAATGCACAAATATGCTCCATGTTTGCGGGATGTATCTCCGAAAAGGCAGCAGCTGTAGCGTCCTTTTGCCCCTTAAGCGTCGTAAAATAGTTGTGCTTTACAAACTTTCCATCCGCGGTCTTTCACTTTGTGCTCGTAAACTTCTCCGAGTCCGACTGTTATTTTTTCTGTAAAAGAGGTCACTTATAAAAATTAGCATGTTTTTTTTTTTTTTTTATTACTTCAGAGTGTATTTCCCGTCCTTCGCTGTGTCGTGGTTCCGCTGCCGTCCAGGAGGGGGCAGAGTAGCTTTCTGGATGCGTGGTTCTTTGGTGAATTCGATGCCGGTCTCGCAGACGGTGGGCGGAGTTTTTGCCTCCGTGGAGCTTTACGGGAAGTCGGGTCACCTCTGGCCTTGGAGTAGGGTCATCACCGCGGCGACGCACAGCAGCCATATATGGGAGGAAGGGGGCGGGGCCATGGAGCTTAGATCTGTGGGAGAAAAAGATACAGCAATAAAGATGACACTGAGTTTGACAAGTCTCTTAAAGTGCTACACTCATTGAATTAATCTGCCTCTGGTCTTGTCTCATTAAAGTTGGACTAAACACCTAAACTCCGCCCATAATCACATTTTAAATAGAGCTGCTGAATTGGGCGGGACTAAAAAGGGAGAGTGAGAGGGGGGGAGTGGTCTGGACATACGAGGAACAGTGTGATTGGTCTAACAGGTGTCCACACTTCAAACTACAGTCAGATGTTTGTGCTCAGGGCAGTTCTGTGTGATGTCACCAACTACTTGAAATCACAGAGGCCACTGGAGAGGCAGGACTCACTTTTTGTTTGCACTAAAATTGCCAAAAATTACTAGGTACAGTTGAAAATGACTACATCTTATTTAGCCTTAATAAAGCATGACTAAAGACTTAATTAATAATGAACAAAGACTTAATTAATAATGATTCATGCTTAGTAAATGTTTAATAAAGAATAATTTGTCTTCACTTTAGAAAAGCTCTCAAAAAGACTATTAAAACACCTCATGCAAAGTTTAGTGTTTAGTTGAACTTTATGGTATACACCGTTGTCCCTGAATTTAAGTTTTTCCCCTGCATTGACCCAACCTTCAGTGTCAGTGGCCAACCAGAAGAAGTGGGCGCCTCTAGATCTTAAGCTAGTCTTGGTCAGGACTACTTTAGCTGGAGGTTTCCATATATTGTCCATGTTTTGTAGTTTTGAGTGCCTCCGCTCAACTGCATTTCTCTCCAGCGACTAGGTCAGGAATTAAAATGTACTAGATGGTTCGCAAAAACCCCGGAAGTGGCACCAGCCAATCAGAGAAGAGCCGTATATTCTGTGTTGCCCACGATTCCTGAGATTGAGGATTCAAAGCTGGAACAAAGAGAATGTTTGGTGAATTTTATCAAGGGAAAAGACATTATTGTCCTTCTTCCTATGGGATTTGGGAAAAGTTTAATATACCAGTTAGCCCCATTAGTGGTGCATTACATACATCATGACCAAATAGCAGTGATTGGTTAAATAAAAAAAGTACCCGCCTACCATCGAGCGAACGAATTCTAATGCTGCGAGGTCAGACTGTTTCTACGAAGTGAAACCAGCTGATGCATCAGGCTACAAGTTTTGGGTTGATGTGATAAACCTGAGTGACTGGAGGAAACCCACCCAGACACAGGGAGAACATGCAAACGCCAAATAGAAAGGGAGTGTTCAAATCTCTTTCTATTTGAGGAGAACCCTCTTTTTAAAATATAAGTTTATTAAATGGGGGACACAACAGAAAGCACTGTTCACTGCTAGAAACCACAGCCTATCAGGGTGGTAGGTGAATGCTCTGATACTACTGTCTCTAGGTCAGCCAGGACAGGACTTTTCTCCAAATAAATGTAATGGGTTTGTGTTAGAACGTACAAGATATGCTCTAAACTCTAAACTGAACAGGACCATGTCTGTACTGTTCAGTTATGACTCTTCTGTTGTTGTTGTTTCTGTCGTTACAGAAACAAGGTCAACTGCTCTTTACATCAACAGCTCTCAGACTCTCAGAGTACAGTACAAACATGTCTGCCTTTACACTTCAGTGTTAATGCTTTTCTTTACCAAGTTTTCCCTTATACTGCTGTCTATGAATGCTGCTATATTATAAAACAACAAACATTCATTGAACTGTTACAACAAATGTACAAATGTGACAAGTAATTTTAATAGAAGAGAATTAATAGAATATCTGTATACGTACTAGTACTACTACAAATAAAACTAAGTAGTGGCAAATCATTTGTAAATAATTGGTAGTAATAGTAGTAGTGGTATTCAAAGTAGTAGTAGTAGTAGTAGTAGTAGTAGTAGTAGTAGTAGTAGTAGTAGTAGTAGTAGTAGTAGTAGTAGTAGTAGTAGTAGTAGTAGTGGTAGTAGTAGTAGTAGTAGTAGTGGTAGTAGTAGTAGTAGTAGTAGTAGTAGTAGTAGTAGTAGTAGTAGTAGTGGTAGTAATAGTAGTAGTAGTAGTAGTAGTAGTAGTAGTAGTAGTAGTAGTAGTAGTAGTAGTAGTAGTAGTAGTAGTAGTAGTAGTAGTAGTAGTAGTAGTAGTAGTAGTAGTAGTAGTAGTAGTAGTAGTAGTAGTAGTAGTAGTAGTAGTAGTAGTAGTAGTAGTAGTAGTAGTAGTAGTAGTAGTCAAAATATAGTGGTTATAAGGTCCAAATAGTAATGACTTTTAGTAGTAATAGCAGTATTCACAACCATAGTTGTAGTAGTAATAGTATCCAGATATCTCTATGGCGCATATAAGCCCCAGAGTAATATCCACCTTGGCTGTAGTAATAGTAGTAAGAATATTCACAGTAATAGTAGTAGTAGCAGTAGTGTTAGCAGTGTTAGTAGTAGGTAATACATGTCCATACACAACTCTATTGTACATTTAAGCCCTAAAGTCAATGGTAATAGCAGTAGCAGTATTCACAGTAGTAGTGCTATTCAAAGTAGTAGTAGTATTCAAAGTAGTAGTACATGTACAAGTATCTCTATAGTATATATAGGCACCAAAGTCACCTCCACCTTGGCTGTGGTAATAGTAGTAGCAGTTTTCACAGTAGTAGAAGCAGTATTCAAAGTAGTAGTACATGTACAAGTATCTGTATAGTACATATAATCCTCAAAGTCACCTCCACCTTGGCTGTGGTGGGCTCAGACTCCGGCGAGACATTGGTCATTTTGTCCGTACATCTCAGAGTCATGTAAGATTCATCATGTGAGATTGAGCTGCATAATTCATTGGTCTGTCCTGGGCCTGTAGACCTCCCCTTTAAGAGCAGCTTTAGTGTGTGGAGGACTTATATTTCAATAAGGTCAAATCCAATATCTGACATGATAATACAATGAAGCAATGTCATTTCAAAAGTACATTTGAAGAGACATTATAGAGTGGGAGTTATGGAAATATAGTCCAATGTCAGCGAGAGAAACAGCAATGGGCACGTTATGTTAAAAGAACTGGATGTAAGATATTCAATTCCTAACGGTGTCCCTCAGATATGACATAGACGTGTTCAAATCAAATATAACTTTTACTGGTAACAATAAGAATGCTGAATTATTCACAGCTACAAAAACATTGGACACGATGGCCAAGATGTTTATGTAAGAATTATGGTGTTTTGGTTTTTAAGATGATCCAATCAGAAAGCAGAATGAGTCTCACATCTCAGTTTCAAAGCTCAAATCCAGTTGGTTAAAACCTAAAATTCCTCTCTCTGATGTGAATAGTCAGAACCTAAACTCCAGAACCTGCAGCCAAGTTTTCACATGTCTGTCCATAAACAGAGAATGAGAAAAACCTGTATGTGTGTACGTTTGTAATTCGTTTATCATTCGTTCATTCGTTTTTCAATATAAAACCAAAAATAAGAAAACGAAAAAACAACTATTCTCTTCATTATTTGTCTCCAAAACCTCAAAAACTTTATGTGACTTAAACTGCGATGCCAGACTGAACCAGGACTGAACCAGGACTAAACTAGTCATGGTCTGGTCCCGGTCTGGTCCTGGTCTCAGTCCCTGTCTGGTCTCTGTCCCCTTCTTGGTCTCGGTCTGGTCCTGGTCTGGTCCTGGTCTGGTCCTGGTCTAGTCCTGGTCTGGTCCTGGTCTGGTCCTGGTCTCAGTCCCGGTCTCTGTCCCGATCTCAGTCTCGGTCTGGTCTTGGTTTAGTCCTGGTTTAGTCCTGGGTCAGTCCGGCATCTCAGTTTAAGTCACGGAAACGGGAAACATTATCTGTTTTTTCCATTATCCGTTTAAGCACAAAATCGAAAACTGAAAAAACAAATCGTTACCCATTTTTTTCATTTTGGTTTTGAAGACAAATAAAGAAGAAAATAGTTGTTTTGACATTTCTTAGTTTTGGTTTTATCTTCTTCTATCAGATTGTGTGTGTGTGTGTGTGTCTTCTTTTCTATTTGCAGGTTAAGGCACGAGCAACCGAGGTTCAGTTGTGATTGTAATTACTTAAAGTGTAAGAGCCTGGATGACATGCAGTTTCTTGGTGGGAGTGTCTTGCCCAAGGACACAAAGGCAGTATTCACATTTGGCAGCTGGGACTGAACCAACAACCTGGGTCAGTGGATCAGTGCACTCTCCCAACTATGTTTCTGCCTGGAGTTGGATTTGAACCACCAACCTTTGGATCAGGGGACAAGCACAACTGTAAATGTTCAGACCCTCCGTACGACTAATATCTGCATAATTATCTGACATGAACCAAAAACTGGGACAAATTTACGATTTTGTTTGTCAGCTCAAAAATAAATATAGCGCCTTTTAATTTGCACTCAACTTGTAGTGGAGTGGGCCGTTGTAATTACGTGTCCTGTTTTACCCTCTCCATCCCTGCTCTCCGCTCCTCTCAGTCATGTGACCACGGGCCTGTTGCTATGGTGACGTCTTCTTTCCTCCCAGCAGACAGTATGTGCTTTTCACTGTCTGAGATGACTGTCCTTAATGTGGATCGGAGCTTTATCCCTCGCTTTAGGAGCCCGCTGGACACGCTCGCTGGTATTAACTATAGCAGAGTTGTATTTGAACAGTTGAAGGATGAAATACTGTTAGGTTATATTTTACTGGGCCTATATCTTAGTAAACAAAAGTATAATTTGTGCACTGTTCTACAACTGAGACACAAGCAAAACAATCCTATAGGGCTGGATGAACTGCAATTAGTGAATTCACAAAAGTTGCAGTAATTTTGTGCCTTCATGGGGTTTTGACAACAAAACAAAAGTTTAAAAATTGCAACTTGCTCTAGTCTAGTGGTCTAGAAGTCAGCAGAAACAATAGTTGTAGTAGCAGTGGTAGTAGTGGTAGTAGTGGTAATAGTGGTAGCAGTAGTAGTAGTAGTAGTAGTAGTAGTAGTAGTAGTAGTAGTAGTAGTAGTAGTAGTAAAAGCTGTGGAAGTAAAAGCTGTAGTAGTAGTAGTAGTAATAGTTGTTGTTGTAGTAGCAGTAAAGGTGGTGGTGGTGGTGGTGGTAGTAGTAGTAGTAGTAGTAGTAGTAGTAGTAGTAAAAGTAGTAGTAGTAGTAGTAAATGCAACAGTAGTAGTAAAAGCAGTACCAGTAGTAAAAGCTGTAGTAGTAGTAGTAGTAAAAGCTGTAGTAGTAGTAAAAGCTGTAGTAGTAGTAGTATTAAAAGCTGTAGTAGTAGTAGTAGTAAAAGCTGTAGTAGTAGTAGTAGTAAAAGCTGTAGTAGTAGTAGTAGTAGTAGTAAAAGCTGTAGTAGTAGTAGTAGTAGTAGTAAAAGTAGTAGTAGTAGTAGTAGTAGTAGTAGTAGTAAAAGCTGTGGTGGTGGTAGTAGTAGTAGTAGTAGTAGTAGTAGTAGTAAAAGCTATGGTACTAGCAGCAGTAGAAGTAATAGTAGTGGTGGGAGCAAGTAGCAGTAACCATGCTGTCAATGCCATCTGAACTACTTCATACTTCCATTGTGTCCTTAGGCAAGACACTGCACTTGCATAGTACTGGTGGGAAACTAGAACCAGTAGTCATAGTTGTAGAAGTAGCACTAGTAGTAGTAGAAGTAGTAGTAGTAGTAGTAGTAGTAGTAGTAGTAGTAGTAGTAGTAGTAGTAGTAGTAGTAGTAGTAGTAGTAGTAGTAGTAGTAGTAGTACTTACTGGGCGGTGGGTCTCGACACTCTCCCTCCTCCAGTGTGACATCGTCTATGGCGATGTCCCCCTCGATCCCCGGACCCCGGACTCCCTCTATCACCACCTGAACACAGACAAATACAACATATAGTACACAAGTATACATACACATACTATACATACATACACATACACACATACATACACATACTATACATACATACTATATATACACATACTGTTCATACACATACTATACATACACATACTGTCCATACACATACTGCACATACCATACATACACTATACACATACTGTCCATACACATACTGCCCATACACATACTGTCCATACACATAATACATACACATACTGCCTATACACATACTGTCATACATACATACACATACTACATACACATACATACATACATACATACACATACTGTCCATACACATACCCATACACATACATACACATTACATACACATACCATACACATACTGTCCATACACATACTGCCATACACATACTATACATGCACATACTGTCCATACACATACTGTCCATACACATACTATACATATACATACTGTCCATACACATACTGCCTATACACATACTGCCCATACACATACTGCCCATACACATACTGTCCATACACATACTGTCCATACACATACTATACATACACATACTGCCCATACACATACTGTCCATACACATACTGCCTATACACATACTGTCCATACACATACTGCCTATACACATACTGTCCATACACATACTGCCCATACACATACTGTCCATACACATACTGCCATACACATACTGTCCATACACATACTGCCATACACATACTGCCTATACACATACTGCTGCCATACACATACACATACTGTCCATACACATACTGCCATACACATACTGCCATACACATACTGTACACATACTGTCCATACACATACTGCATACTGCCATACACATACTGTCCATACATACATACATACACATACTGCCATACACATACTGTCCATACACATACTGTCCATACACATACTGTCACATACTGCATACATATACATATACATACTGTCCATACACATACTGTCCATACACATACTATACATATACATACTGTCCATACACATACTGTCCATACACATACTATACATATACATACTGTCCATACACATACTGTCCATACACATACTGTCCATACACATACTGTCCATACACATACTATACATATACATACTGTCCATACACATACTGTCCATACACATACTATACATATACATACTGTCCATACACATACTGTCCATACACATACTGCCTATACACATACTGTCCATACACATACTGTCCATACACATACTGCCATACACATACTGCCCATACACATACTGCCCATACACATACTGTCCATACACATACTGTCCGTACACATACTGCCCGTACACATACTGCCCGTACACATACTGCCCATACACATACTGTCCGTACACATACTGCCTATACACATACTGTCCGTACACATACTGTCCGTACACATACTGTCCGTACACATACTGCCCATACACATACTGCCGTACACATACTGCCCGTACACATACTGTCCGTACACATACTGCCATACACATACTGTCCGTACACATACTGCATACTGCCCATACACATACTGCCGTACACATACTGCCCATACACATACCCATACACATACTGTCCGTACACATACTGCCCATACACATACTGTCCATAACACATACTGCCATACACATACTGCCATACACATACTGTCCATACACATACTGTCCATACACATACTGTCCGTACACATACACATACTGCATACTGTACACATACTGTCCGTACACATACTGCCCCATACACACACATACTGTCCGTACACATACTGCCGTACACATACTGTCCGTACACATACTGCCTACACATACGTACACATACTGTCCGTACACATACTGCCCATACACATACTGCCTATACACATACTGTCCGTACACATACTGTCCGTACACATACTGCCCATACACATACTGCCTATACACATGAACAGAAGGAAGATCAGAGAAAATATAATGTCCTCGTATAATTTGGATGATTTTCTGGCACACACACTCACATCTGTTGTGTAGTAAAGTGTACGCAACAGCATAAAGGCAGATGTAGTAAATCTATGCAACTTTTTTCATACACCATCTGCTTTTTACTTTGCCACATATTGGTCAAGTTCAGGTCTGTGGAAGGGCAAGCCCACTCACAGTTAGAATGCATGTACATTAAGAAGAACTACAACGTGAAAAGTAAAGGAACGGAGAAGTTGGAAACATAAGTTAAAGTAATTTATTGTTTTATCATTGTTTGTTTCTTTTGTTTGTTCTTCACTTGCCGCTTGTTCGATCCGTCGGAAAATAGTCCCACGGTCACTTCCGTTGTGGCTTTTTAATGTGTTGCGGCATTTGCGTTTGTGTTGTGGCGTTTGTATTTGGAAAATAAACATAGCTTAAACTCCCTTCAACTTACTTTAAATACATAGTTATTCGACATGTTTCATTGTGATTTTGCCTCAGTCTGCAACTTCCAATCATTTGTAAATACGTGTAAGATAATCAGAAATACTCAGAATCAACTCCCAAATCTAACTCTATTCCTGCGCTGTATTAAATGTGAAATAAATTACAACTTGTTTACTCAATACAACTACTTCTTATGGCTCAAAAGTGCTACGTTACATATAGAGCATAAAAATGTGGTCTCATTCTGTATTCATAATGGTGGCGGTGCTGCTGGGAGACAAATAAAAGTAAATACACAGTCGTTTAGCTTAATTGTGTGTTTTAAAAGCAGCAGGTGGCAGCACTTTATTTCTCTTTTAATGTCACAGGACCGGAGACACTCGCCGCCTATGGACTCCGCGGCGGAAAGTCTAATTACTTTGCAAAGACCGAGGCTGTAAAAATGATGGAGGATCGTGCTATGCCATATTTGCCATTAGCTTCCTGTTGGTATATCTGCGCGGGGGAGGTTTTATAGTGAGCCGTGCATCCTGGACTCTGCGTTAGGGCATATGTTACGCCGTGAAACGTCTAAAGGTGCACTGTGTAACTTTTCTGGTGGAGGGTCTGCCAGCTGCTTGTGTTGTCTGGCATGTTCCACCATATGGCAGGAAACAAATACAGTATATCTTGTATTTATTGAATTCCTAAGGTTTTTATGTCTCAAAAGTACCACAAAGACATGCATTATTATTGCAAACAGGCCCTCTTCTCCACAGATCGGACCAGTAACTTGGCCTGGTGATGTGGCCTGCGTGTATCCATTGAGAATTAAAAGCCACATATGCTTTTTTCGAGAAAAACAAAAACAAAAAAACAAATTTGAGTCAAAAATTTACACGGTGAACCTTTAAGTACCACTAAACCACTGTGTTTTTTTCAGTACGAGCAGAATATTCACTGGACTCGTCAAAAATATCAAAGATCAGATGCTAAATGAGAATAAAACTAGTATCAAAACTACACAGCAAAAAGTGGAGTGTTAAAATTGACTCTCACAGAATCAATTTTCACATTTTCTCAGGATTTATATGAGTCCAATCTGTTCTAGAGTTAATTTAACATTTTTGGAAATGTTAATTAAGTAACAAACCCCGAAATCAAGAGTTATATTAATGTTTTGAGAATAAACGGATAACACTTTTTAGGGTTATTCTGATTTAGCTAAAAAACACACAGAGGTGTTTTATTTTTACACTTTATTTTGGTTGATTTAAGGTGAAATGATGCACAAAACTGGTTCAAACTGGTCTTGACTCGTGGGAGTTAGAAGCTGTGGGTGGGAGGTGCCAAATTAACACTAGGGGAAGTTGAATTAACTTCAACACATCAACTCTGGCAAGTAATACAAACTTGAACCCCCATTTAACTTTCAAAAAGGTTAAATTTTAACCCTCCAGTTTTTGTTGTGTAGATTTAAGTATCAAGAGTAAAAAAGTCACAAGACAGAAGTGAACCTTTCCTGAATAGCTTTAGAGTGATCTTGAGCTGTATCAGAACAAGTAGAAGAGCACATATTAATAATAATATATTATTTAATGTTGAGAATCAAATTCTATTGTCTGAAGAAACAGTGTTTTTTATTATCATTGTGGTATTGGACTCCATGTTGAGTACTGTGTCTATTCCATAGTGCTGAAATCGAGTTTGAAATTTCACTGTGAAATCTAACACTAAGATTCACTTGCCTTCAGCTCGTTTACTTTACAGCTACGGATATGTGACAGTTACTTTCAGAGCGGGGAAAAAAAAAACAACACACACACATAATACTTGTCTCCCCCCTGAACTGCCACCTTACCGTGGTGGGGGAGTTTGCGTACCCGAATGATCCTAGGAGCTATGTTGCCCGGGGCTTCATGCCCCTGGTAGGGTCTCCCATGGCAAACAGGTCCTAGGTGACGGGGCAGACTAAGAGCAGTTCATAAAACCCACATGAACAGTTTAATATCGAGGACCGTGACGTCGCCCGGTATGGCGCAGCCGGGGCCCACCCTGGAGCCAGGCCTGGGGTTGGGGCTCGAATGCGAGCACCTGGTGGCCGGGACTTTGCCCACGGGGCCCGGCCGGGCTCAGCCCGAAAGGACAACGTGGGTCCACCCTCCTGTGGGCTCACCACCCGCAGAGGGGTTCATAGGGGTCGGGTGCATAGAGGACTGGGCGGCGGTCGGGAATGGGTGTCCCGACGGCCTGGTCCGCACACACAGCATCTGGCTGTGGCGACATGGAATGTCACCTCGCTGGGGGGGAAGGAGCCAGAGCTTGTGCGGGAGGTTGAGAGATACCGGCTAGATATAGTCGGGCTCACTTCTACGCACAGCTTGGGCTCTGGTACCCAACTCCTTGAAGGGGGTTGGACCCTCCATTTCTCTGGCATTGCCCACGGGGAGCGGCGGCGAGCTGGTGTGGGCTTGCTTATAGCCCCACAGCTCAGCCGCCACGTGTTGGAGTTTACCCCGGTGAACGAGAGGGTCGTGTCCCTGCGCCTTCGGGTTGGGGACAGGTCTCTCACTGTGGTGTCAGCCTACGGGCCGAACAGCAGTGCTGAGTACCCGGCCTTCTTGGAGTCCCTGGGAGGGGTACTGGACAGTGCACCGACTGGGGACTCCGTTGTTCTACTGGGGGACTTCAACACCCACGTGGGCAACGCCAGTGACACCTGGAGAGGGGTGATCGGGAGGAACGGCCTCCCCGATCTGAACCCGAGCGGTGTTTTGTTATTGGACTTCTGTGCTAGTCACAGTTTGTCCATAACAAACACCATGTTCGAGCACAAGGGTGTCCATAAGTGCACGTGGCACCAGGACACCCTAGGTCGGAGGTCGATGATCGACTTTGTCGTCGTGTCATCTGACCTCCGGCCGCGTGTCTTGGACACTCGGGTGAAGAGGGGCTGAGCTGTCAACCGATCACCACCTGGTTGTGAGTTGGATCCGCTGGCAGAGGAGGAAGCCGGAGGGATCTGGCAGGCCCAAGTGTATTGTGAGGGTCTGTTGGGAACGTCTGGCAGAGCCCTCTGTCAGGGGGATCTTCAACTCACACCTCCGGGAGGATTTCTCCCAGATTCCGGGGGAGGCTGGAGACATGGAGTCCGAGTGGGCTATGTTCTCAGCCTCCATTGTCAATGCGGCCGCTCGTAGCTGTGGGCGTAAGGTCTGTGGTGCCTGTCGCGGCGGCAATCCCCGAACCCGGTGGTGGACACCGGAAGTAAGGGATGCCGTCAGGCTGAAGAAGGAGTCCTATCGGGCCTTGTTGGCTCATGGGACTCCTGAGGCAGCTGACAGGTACCGGTGGGCCAAGCGTGCTGCAGCCCGTGCGGTCGCAGAGGCAAAAACTCAAAGCTGGGAGGAGTTCGGGGAGGCCATGGAGGAGGACTATCGGACGGCCTCAAAGAAATTCTGGCAAACCGTCCGGCGCCTCAGGAGGGGAAAGCAGTTCTTCACCAACACTGTTTACAGTGCGGGGGGAGAGCTGTTGACCTCGACTGGGGACGTTGTCCGGCGGTGGAAGGAATACTTTGAGCATCTCCTCAATCCCACCGTCACGTCTTCCGAGGAGGAAGCAGAGGCTGGAGACTCAGAGGCGGACTTATCCATCACCCTGGCCGAAGTCACTGAGGTGGTTGGCAAACTCCTTGGTGGCAAGGCTCCGGGGGTGGATGAGATCCGTCCTGAGTACCTTAAGTCTCTGGATGTTGTGGGTCTTGGCTGACACGCCTCTGCAACATCGCGTGGCGGTCGGGGACAGTGCCTCTGGACTGGCAAACCGGGGTGGTGGTCCCTCTGTATAAGAAGGGGGACCGGAGGGTGTGTTCCAATTACAGGGGAATCACACTCCTCAGCCTTCCCGGTAAGGTCTATGCCAGGGTACTGGAGAGGAGAATCCGGCCGATAGTCGAACCACGGATTCAGGAGGAGCAGTGTGGTTTTCGTCCTGGCCGTGGAACACTGGACCAGCTCTACACTCTCCATCGGTGCTTGAGGGTTCATGGGAGTTTACCCAACCAGTCCACATGTGCTTTGTGGACTCTGGAGAAGGCATTCGACCGTGTCCCTCGTGGTGTCCTGTGGGGGGTGCTCTGGGAGTATGGGGTCCGGGGGCCTTTGCTAAGGGCTGTCCGGTCCCTGTATGACCGGAGCAGGAGCTGTGTTCGCATTGCCGGCAGTAAGTCAGACCTGTTCCCGGTGCATGTTGGACTCCGCCAGGGCTGCCCTTTGTCACGGTTCTGTTCATTGTATTTATGGACAGAATTTCTAGGCGCAGTCAGGGGTCGGAGGGGGTCCGGTTTGGGGACCACAGGATTTCATCTCTGCTGTTTCGCAGATGATGTTGTCCTGATGGCTTCATCAAACCAGGACCTGCAATGTGCACTGGGGCGGTTTGCAGCCGAGTGTGAAGTGGCTGGGATGAAGATCAGCTCCTCCAAATCCGAGGCCATGGTTCTCAACCCGAAAAAGGTGGCTTGCCCTCTCCGGGTGGGTGGAGAGTCCTTGCCTCAAGTGGAGGAGTTCAAGTATCTCGGGGTCTTGTTCACGAGTGAGGGGAGGATGGAGCGTGAGATTGACAGGCGGATCGGTGCAGCTTCGGCAGTGATGCGGTCGCTGTATCGGACCGTTGTGGTGAAGAGGGAGCTGAGTCGATAGGCGAAGCTCTCGATTTACCGGTCAATCTACGTTCCTACTCTCACCTATGGTCATGAGCTCTGGGTAGTGACCGAAAGGACGAGATCGCGGATACAAGCGCTCGAAATGAGTTTCCTCCGCAGGGTGGCTGGGCGCTCCCTTAGAGATAGGGTGAGGAGCTCAGTCACACGGGAGGAGCTCGGAGTAGAGCCGCTGCTCCTCCACGTTGAGAGGAGCCAGTTGAGGTGGCTCGGGCATCTGTTTCGGATGCCTCCTGGACGCCTCCCTCGGGAGGTGTTCTGGGCATGTCCCACCGGGAGGAGGCCCCGGGGAAGACCCAGGACATGCTGGAGGGACTATGTCTCTCGGCTGGCCTGGGAACGTCTCGGGATCCCCCTGGAAGAGCTGGAGGACATGTGTGTGGAGAGGGAAGTCTGGGAGGCCCTCCTCAGACTGTGACCGCGACCCGACCTTGGATAAGCGGAAGAAAATGGATGGATGGATGGACATATTACTTGTCAAACAGATTAAGGTCAACTTGAATGAGATGATGACTCCAGCAGTAACATATTATTGCCAAGAGTCCAGCTCCATTTCCCCGTCTGTTCCGTTCCTCTTTTTGCTCCCTCCTTGTTTTTCCTACAGCTGCCACTCATCCCTGCCTCTATATCCTCCCTCTGTTCATCCAGTCTCTATATCCTCCCTCTGTTCATCCAGTCTCTATATCCTCCCTCTGTTCATCCAGTCTCTATATCCTCCCTCTGTTCATCCAGTCTCTATATCCTCCCTCTGTTCATTCAGTCTCTATATCCTCCCTCTGTTCATCAGTCTCTATATCCTCCCTCTGTTCATCCAGTCTCTATATCCTCCCTCTGTTCATTCAGTATCTATATCCTCCCTCTGTTCATCCAGTCTCTATATCCTCCCTCTGTTCATCCAGTCTCTATATCCTCCCTCTGTTCATTCAGTATCTATATCCCTCCTCTGTTCATTCAGTTTCTGCCACATTACACCTGTTCACCTGTTTTGTTTCTTCCAGCATTTTTGAAACCTAAGTACGGGGGCTTTGGTTGAGTTGACGTGGAATGACTGAGCTTTATTATTTATTTTTACACGTTACAATGTGTTTTGAACTTAAGCTGAACAAAAGTTTTGCAAATTTTTTTTTTCAAAGACTAATAAATATTCAAAGACTCTGTTTTTACTCTAACTTGTGTATGGAAGTAACATTTACTCGCTCAATTCAAGACAATCGGTTTTCATGATTTTACCAAGTAAAATGAAGTTACTCTTAAAATAAAGTTTACTACATATTTCAGATTTGAGGAAGTGACTGATTGGTTGGCACAGCTTCACAACATGAGTTCCTTGAATGAAACTAAAGTTCACTTACACTCAGCTTTAGATTCACAGTCCACTTTAGTCAGATTTTTCAAGCAAATTAGTTTCCTAGATTTTTTCAAGTAAAGTCTACTTATTAGATTTTACAGTGTTTAATAGTGTTGACCTTTTCTTCACAAACTCTCACTGGACTGAAAGTATGAGAAATATTCACCACAAGTACTACACCACCAAACCAAGTAATCATTTTAATTTATCTGCACTTCTTGATCGTCCCGGTTGAAGTATTCTCACTGTAAATATGAGCAGAGCGGCTGAATCGTGGGGCGTACCTGGAAGGAGGAGATGGGATGGATGCTGACTTTGGCCTGTTTCCAGCGGTCGCCTTGGTTACCGCTGAGGGACCATACAGGGCTGTCGGGGGTGGTCTGTCCCTTTTGCTTCAAGAGGGCGTTTAGTGTACCTGAGAGAGACAGAAAGAAGAAGGGAAGGAGAGAAAAAGAGAAAGAAAGGGGGAAGAAAGAGAGAGATAATTAGGTTGATGAGGACAACGTAACAACCCAAAATTATAGGAGCTTTACTTTTTACTTTTTGTTTGGTCAATAAAGCGAAATTTGTCTTGCTCGAGTACAGATACATTAGTAAAAAGTGAACCAGGAGGTACAGGTGGTGCACTGTTTGCTTGCTAGTGGCATGAGCACACATCTTTGCTCTGAAAAGTTGTGAAATATATACACTTTGGAGCAGTGCAACTGTCAATAACATCTGCAGCCTTTTACCATCTAAAAAACAGAGCAAAAATCAAAGGTTTACTGTCTAAATCAGACTTGGAGAAACTTATCCATGCGTTTGTCTCCAGTAGGTTAGATACTGTAATGTTCTGCTCACTGTTCTCTCCAAACGAGCTGTGAGACGCTGCAGAACATCCAGAACGCTGCAGCTCGGGTCCTGACTCGAACTAGGAAGTACGAGCACATAAGTCCTGTGCTCAGGTCTCTGCACTGGCTCCTGTGCCTCAGAGATTTTAAAGCAGCTCTGTTTGTACAAGTGTCTCCATGGCCGAGCACCAAAGTCCATCTGTGACATGTTAGTGTCATATGAACATCTCGCACTCTGAGGAGCTCAGGGACCCAACCTCCTGCTGGTGCCCAGAGTCAGGACTAAACAAGGGGAGTCAGAGTTTCAGGTTCATGCAGCTAAAACCTGGAACAGTCTGAACATGTGAGACAGACTCTTCTGTGACGCTGTTTAAATCCAGACTCAAAACATTTCTGTTTAACTGTGCAAATAACTGAAAGGTTTTCATTCCGCACTCTTCTCTCCAATTTATGTCTCTCTTTTTTTATTTTAATATTTATGTTTTGATTTGTTTTTATTATGATTTTAATGTATTTCTTATTCTGTAAAGCACTTTGAAGTACTTTGTGTACAAATTGTGCTATACAAATAAACTTGCCTTGCCTTGCCTTAAAATGAACTAGTTGCATTTTTTGTTTCAGTCAAATCAGGTCCTGCAGGTTTAATTCACCCAAACACAGGGAGAACATGCAAACTCCACACGGAAAAGAGAAGGAAAAAAAAAAAGAAGAGGAGATAGTGTAGAGGACATGTTGCCACCGCACATCCCCGGACAGTTTTGGTGACAGGAACCATCTGCTTCGTAAGTGTAAATCAGAAAGCGCCCCCCGACTCTCGTCCCGGTACTGCGCCCTCTGTCTCCCACTCAGGAGGTCATGGTGTGTGCCGGAAACGCTGCTCTGTGCACCCAAAGGACCCATCGGAGCGTGGAGAGGAGAGGAAAGAGGAGGGAAAAGGGTGAGAGGAGAGGAAGGGAGAGGAGATGACGAGACAAGAAGAGGGGAGTGAAGAGGGCAGGGAGAGGAGAGGGCATGAGAAGAGGGGGGTGAGAAAAGTGGAGAGAAGAGGAGAGGTGAGGATGAGAGTAGTAGAGAGGAAAGGAGAGTAGGGGAGAGGAGGAGAAGAGGAGGGCGAGAGAAGGGAGAGGTGAGGAGGGAAGAGGAGAGGGGAGGAAAAAGAGGAGTAGAGAGGAGAGGAGGGGAGAGGAGAAAGGAGGATGGAGAGTAGAGGGGATGAGAGGAGGAGAAAGGAGAGCATAAAGAGAGGGAAGGATAAGAGAGGAGAGGAGGAGAGAAAAAGGAGAGAGGAGGAGAGTGACAGGAGTGGAGAAGAGAGGGGAGGAGAGTAAGAGAGAGGACGAGGTGGGGAGAGGAGAAAAGAGGAGGGAGACTAGATGGGAGGAGAGAGGAGAGAAAAAGGAGAGGGGGGAGAGGAGGAGAGGAGAGTGAGAGGAGGGAGAGGTGAGCAGGGAAGTGGAAAGGGGAGGATGAGAGGAGGAGAGAAGAGTAGAGAGGAGAGGAGAGGGGAGGAGAGGAGGATAGATGAGAAAAGATGAGGGAGAGAAGAGGGGAGGAGTGGAGGAGAGATGAGAGAAAAGGGAAAGGGAAGGAGAGGGGAGGAGTGGAGGGGAGAACGAGAGAGGAGAGAAAAAGAAGAGGAGAGGAGGAGGGGGAGAGAAGTGGAGAGAAACGGAGAGGAGGGGAGAGGGAAGGATTTGAGGATAGAGAGGAGAGGGCAGGATAGAAGAGTGGAGTGGAGAGTAGAGTGGAGGAGAGAAGGAGAGGAGGATAGAAAAAACAGAGGGAAGGAGAGGGGAGGAGTGGCGGCAGAGACAGCGCTGGTTTGAAACAGCCCATCACAACTTTCAATTTGGGCTCACGCTCCACAAATCTGCCCCTGGAGTCCACTCCACCGCAGGCAAACTCTGTCAGCCTCTATATCCAACAACTTGACAATATTTTGAGACGGGACGTAATAATGATAGTGCCTCAGCTTTTAAGGGAATACAGAGAAAGTGTTGCGCACTTAAAGGTGCACTGTGTAACCTTTCTGGGGGAAGGTCTGTGCGCCTCCAAGGAGACGTTATTGCCTCGCCTGGAATCATCCCGATCAAGCACTGAACTTATCTTGGATTTATACAATTATGAGTATTCTTTCAAAACACCATTCTTACCATAGATTGTTTATATAAATGAACGTGAGCGTGGGAGTAGACCTGTAATGATAATCAATAAATCTATTCATCGCATGGTAACTTTTAACAAGCTCAATAACTTTTCCAGACGCAATAAATTCTTGTCTCTCTTTCTCATTCCGCACTCTTCTCTCAAATTTATGTCTCTCTTTTTTAATTTTAATCTTCATGATTATTTATGTTTTGATTTGTTTTTATTATGATTTTAATGTATTTCTTATTCTGTAAAGCACTTTGAATTACTTTGTGTACGAATTGTGCTGTACAAATAAACTTGCCTTGCCTTGCCTTTCTCTCTGAACGTGCCAGAGTAGACTGGACAGATTATTTGTCCATCAGCACAGTGGATGCGCGCGCAGCCTGAGTGCAGAAAGCGTCGCTGTCTGTGCGCTGAACATGAAGCCGCAGCACAAGCGCCGCCGTCAGAACCAAAACAGTTCCTCACCGTGTGACAAAACAAGTCACGATGCCGAATCAACACTGGTGAGTGGAACACGTCTCAACAGCCACATGTTTTAAATGCAGCGATTGTGCAAATGATGAGAAGAAATGGCTCAAACCCCAACATCCGACATTCACCCAAACCTGAGCGACACAACTAGCCCCGCCCCGAGGGAGCCCGAAATCCACTGAAATCCCACAAGACTCCGATACGATACCAGACAGGACAGAGGCTTCCTCCGAGCGAAACAGGATCCTGTGTCGAGGGTTAATATGAACACTTCAAGACCAAAATGCAGAGGCTCACAGCAGCAGCCACAGAGAGACGAGACACAACATACCAATGGAAATCAACTTTATAAACTACCACATGGCAAAATAAAACTCATCCTGACATTTAAATAAATATTCAGAAAGGTTTTTCGGAGTTCTAAATGCATCAAAGAGAATTTAGTTTGGTTCTAAAATAAACATGGTTGGGTTCTATAAAACTGCCATAAACGCCTAAGGCATCGTGTCCAAACTTTTCATCAAGGGCCACGTCTCTAAACACAGATGAAGCAGAGGCTGATCAAGGCCGTAGACTGGAGCTCAATACAGTGAATAACTGAAATATGTACATGTTTAACACGTTAGAATGATCCATCAGTCTTGATTCATGCTCAAGATCCTCAAAACCACACACTAAATATTACATATTAGTTTTATCAAGGTAGATTTTCAAAAAAACTTGCAGTAAAAAGTTCATTTTTAATTAATGCAAGGTAGTTTCCTAATAATAACCTGGAAGCCTGAGGGCCAAGAAAAATGTGTCTCAGGGTCGCATTTGATACTTTTTTCTTTCTAAAATGGTCAGAGTCATCGTTATTTATAATTTTTTTTTACATTTTGTTCAAAAGTCCAATAATGAGTTAAATATCAAAAAATCTAAATTTTCTGTCAATTATTTCATGTGTCAGACTTTATAGGGTTAAGACAATTTTGTTACAGAGGCTGAATAATCCATTCATTTATTGTTTTGGTTGTGTTTGGTTCAACAGTGGTTTATTCAAGTGCATTTTTTTAACAAGTCCTTGCTGTAAGACAGACAACATTAGAATATTCTTCTATTAACAAGTCTATTATATTTAGGCCTATTGTTTTTGTGTTAAATGTTCTTTAAAAAGTAAAGTTTATTGATCTTTGAAAGGGTGTGTTTGCATTTTTATTCCATGGTCATTGTTGAAAATGGTCTCAAAATGTCAATATTACCATGTATCGCAATGAAATCTTAGTCAATTAATTAATCGTCCAGCAAAATCTGTTCAGGTCTACACGGGAGCGCGTCAGTCTCCACCGACTCTGGCTCCAACTGACTTTACGCTGAACATTTGAGCAGATTCACCTTTTCAAACATCTGACCTGTAACTATGGACATCCTTAAGTTGAACGGCATCTGTGGAACCAGATCCTACTCCAAAAAGGTTACACGGCGCATCTTTTAGTCACTGACAGACTCGGACGTTCATACAGATGCACTCTCTTTCCCCTCCTTCCTCCTGTAGTTTCATATAAAAAGAGGTTTGAGTTTTTTGGAGCTGCTCGGAGCGGCAGGACGCTCCACCGCTCCACCGGCTCTGAGCTTCCACACCCAACTGCAGATGATGACACTGAGAGCAAAGGATTTAGAAAGAGAGAGAGAGAGAGAGAGGAGGAGAGAAAAGAAGAAGAGAGAGAGAGGTGAGAGAAAGAGAGGAGAGGTGACAGAGAGAAGAGACGAGACATGGACAGACAATAAAGAGAGTCGGGGAGTGAGAGAAAGAGGGAAGAGAGGAGATGAAAGAGAGGAGAGAGGGTGGTGAAAAGAGACGCAGAAGGAGAGATGAAGGCAGAGAGAAAGAGTGGAAAAGAGAGAGAGAGAGAGGAAAGGCTTTCATTTTGTGTTATCTGTGATTGTGGAACGGCTTTTGATGCTCAGCAGGTGTCTCATT